AAGTGAAGGATATCGTACCATTAAAGGTGCTTCCTGGATCAGGAAGCCAAGGAAAGCACACCTCATTTTTACACGAAGGTAAGCCATAGCCAGTATTTAATTTCCTCAAACATAACCTCATACAAAGAACCATGGCATATGATTCATATACTCAGAATAATCAGTTGTTATAATTTCAACTCATGTATATCATGTGGGTAAACCTTGGAGGCTGTCTACTTTAGAGTCCATAACTTGGCAGATAAGTCTATGAGTTCCACTGAAAATTCTTTTAGGCCAATGAATCCACGGTTGTGAGGTATTCAAGTAACTCTATAGATAAAGACAAGGTGCTAGATTGAAGTGGTAACATGTAACTCTCAAATTATATGACAAGAATTCTTCTGGAGGTCAGTGAGCATGTACAAGTATTATTGGATTCCATATATTTCTACCCAATGAGTTATTTTCTTATACTCAAATTTTACTCTCACAATGAACAACATATTTATATCCTTTGTTAATATAGGTTTACTAAACCACATAAATCTCATGTGTCATCTATTATTTTTCTTGTTATTTTTCACTATATTGCAAGTGCATCTGTGAATTAAATCTTGGTATGCATCGCTTTTGCAGACCCGACAAGTGGTATCAAATCTTGGATAGACTCCCAGTATCAGTCTTATGGGGTATAACACGTATTTGACGCTCAAAGGTTCATAATTTTCTTTTGAATTAATCCAAATAGACAGTTCAAGAGCATGATTTTGAATATTTAAGACATTTATCCCAATTTAAACTTTTTCTAGTGCATGATTGAAGCGATATTGATGACTTATGCACATTCTCTAACTTGAGGCTACAAGAAATTCACTTCCTCGTTCATCAGCAGCACATACCAAATATCATAATTGTTTCAATTTGTATACAAGTCGATCACACATGCAATTTACTTTATCACGCTCACTCCTAGCCAATGCAGAACAAGAGCATAGCTTTCATAATTCAAAATTTATTTCAGTTAATGTTATTTGATTATTGTAATTATCTCAGGTGTTTTGGTTTATTTAGGATTAAGGATTGCTTAACCTTTCAGAATTAGAAGTTGATTACGATTAGGATTTCTAGTTCTTTATATATTGGGTTGGTGTAGTGAATAATTAGCTGCTTCTTTATGATAATTATTGCAAATATTGAGATTATTATTGAGTTTTATTAATTTCTCGCTAAATTGGAGAGTCATCCTGCATAAGTTTGGTACATAGTTGTTAAAAGCACATCAATGTGCAGAGGTTACTTGGAGCCTAGGTGCGCTCCTTTAAGAAGTAAGGCACACATTAGATAATTTGTAGGATATTTTCTGTCACTCTACATATCATAAAACTGTATAAAGTATTCAAAGTTTTAAACATATCAAATATGCATGACAAACATGTAATTAGCAAACAGAATATATTCAAAGTCCAAACTACACATCAAAAAAAATCAAAATAAATTTTTTTAGCTTTCTTTGAAAAATTAAAATATTTGGGAGAACATTATTGAAAGAATGAAAGTTGGGGAGGGCAAAGAAAAACACAAGTCAGAAGTGGAGTGCTTAATTTGAAGGCAAAACTGAAGGAGGAGCCAAAGAAGAAGCAGAAACAAAAATCGAAAGTCTGAGCACAAGCACAAGGAGATGTCAAAGCTGAAGGAGAAGAAGAAGCAAAAGTTAAGTAATGATGAATTATCATGGGATTCACTTATGATGAGAAAGAAAAGCTAAAATCAGTTCTTGAGTGCTCGGAGAAAGTGAATTGGATTTAAATTCACTTCAGTCTGAATTTAATTCACTAAAGTTAGAATGTAAAATGACAAGGCAATAAATCAACTATAAATTAAATGTTTTTTTGGTAGAACCTACTGCAAGATGTAATGATTCTATGACAATCTTCGATGCACCACCATTGGATGAAGATGAATGAGTTTTTGCAGTCAAAGCAATTCAGAAAATGAGATCAACAGTAAGATCTTGGAGGTTGCTCAAGAAATACAAAAACATGAAGTTGAAGAAACCCAGGGAATTGCTGAAAATGTTTGAACATGAACATGAAAAGAGCATACACTACAAGAATAACCTATGAAGGAAGATATTGTGAATAATTTTGAAGATGTTCAGCATATTGAGTTTGTAAGTCTGCAACAATTTTTAAGCCAAGAGTAAGAACACTATCAATTAATTTCTGATCTTTTGCCATGAAGATTGGAGAGTTTTCAAGAAGGATTATGTTGGAAGGATTTCAAGTTCAACAACTGAATATATTCATCATACGCCATTTCAAAGCTCAAGGGCGAGTTTTCATCAACTGGGGAAGAATGATGCCGCACATAGCCTTCATAATTCAGAATTTTGATTAATTTGTTATTAGATTATTGTAATTATCGTTAAGTATGTTGGTTATATAAGATTTAGGATTGCTATATCTTTGAGAAGTAGAAGTTGATTAGGATTTGGATCATATTTCTTTATATATTGAGTTGAAGTATTAAACAAATTAGCTTCTTCTTTATGATGATTACTTGCTCATTATTGCTAATATTAAGATTCTTATTCAGTTTTGTTAATTTCTCTCCTGAATTGGTGAACCTTCCTGCATCACCAAAACCATATTTGGGAGCATACCAAGGCAACTTTGCATATTTAGAAGCTCTTAAAAAAGTATATACATTTGACCTTTGAAAAATGTTAAATGCATGCCAGGAATCAATAGATTGCTATGGCATAGATGAAAGAACAAATGACATGAATAATTGAACTAGCAGACCAAAATATGTTTTTGCTAACTCATGATGCATATCCCAAAAGAAAAGATAATAACAAAAAAAAACAAAAAAACAAAAACAAAAAAAAAAACAAGAAACAAATAGGAGAAGGAGAAGGAGAAGGAGAAGAAGAAGAAGAAGAAGAAGATGCAAAACTTACATGGACAAAGGCAGTATAATGACCCCCTCCCATGCTCCCATAATGATTGCTAACTGCATAAAGCATATAACGATTAGACAATTGATCACTCCTGTGGGCAATGTGTCTCGATAAATCAAGATCATGAACGGGAAAGTCAACATATGTCTCCAGCTTGTTCTTCAGAAAGCGGCTATATGAGAATCTCTTTAAATGAATAACTAAAATCTCAGGCAGTCTCCAAAGATCTAACTTTTTGCTGGCTTGCCGATGTTTTTTGCAGGCAGGACAGTACCTGCAATGAAGATCTAGTTTATAAATTAAATATGCATGAGCTGCAAAATCAATGAAGAAGAAGCAACAAACTGAAAAAACTGAGTCAAGGGAAGAATCCCAAGGGAGAGGAAAAATAAATAGACATGAAAGGAAATTTGAAAGGAAAACCAAAAGGAAATAAGCAAAGAGATGATTATAAGAAACTTTCAATAAAACAAAGGGCAGGCTTCTTCTTTTTCTGCAACTTTCCACTAAACTATTGTGGGCAATGGAAAACAAAACTATCTTAAACATGTTGAAATTAATATTATTATCTCATAAGAGGTCAATTGATTTTAAACATATTGGCAGCCTGAAACAGATATCCCACCATTGAGATTTTTGGGGAGGATGAACTTTATCCCACGTGCAGTGACTGTTTTGTCTTTCAATGTCATTACAAGTCATTGCTAGTTTTTTTAATTCTAAAAAAGACAACTGCATCCAAACCCAGAAGTTGATTCTTTCTGGCTGATGATCTATTTCCCAGAAAAAGCTAAAGTCAAAGATCTCTATTCCTGGAATTGATTGTTAAGTTTGTAAGACACAAATTAAATGATTAGATCAAATGAATAGCAGGAACACATAAAATTGTTCTTATAACATGGCAAAGTGCAAATCTAGAAACCAAAGATAAGCTTCTGAAATTTCATGAATTATAAACATGTAATACAAAAGGGATAGATGAATTCTTTTTTAGGTCAAGTTTTCGAAAGACAAAGCTGTAGAAACTGACCACATGTCCTCTGGTCCAAGCGGCTCCTCCTTCAAGAATGCTTCAAGGCATTTATACAAAGAAACAGATTCTTGAGTTTTTTTTGGCAAAAAAATCAGACTTAAAAACCTGGGGCAGTGAACTAAGAAGACGTGACTTGTACTTTTTGACCATTTTAGATGGCCAACATACAAGCACACTCAACCGCCCAGGCACTGCCTTGGCAGCCACAGGCTCATTCATCACAATTCTTGAGTCCCTTGTTGTCCCCTTCTCATCTGTTAAATAAAACTCCAAATCAGTATCTGAATCTACTTGAAACTCTTTTCTGTTAGCGGAGTCAGCACTCGCATTAAAACTAGGAGTTGTTGCATCCTCCATATTTGTTAATTCTTCATTTGCAGTTCTCTCATTTTTATCGTTGTCATCCCCAGATTCTTCATCAGGTATTAGGAATGCTCTGAGTAATTTTAAATAGAGAGTACGAATATCTGATCCATTTTCAAATTTAGAACTTGTTACAAGAGGAATCCCAAATGCCTTCCAGCTTGACGTCAACTTCCCACAGATAGAAGGCCTGACAACGCAAATTTTGCACAAGATTTCAGATGGCAACCATTTTCCTTTATTAAAGCAAAGTAAGATGGTCCATCATTTTATGAATATATCAGAATAGAGAGCGACACAGCTGAATATCAAGAACTGCATATCTGATGTTGACAGTGGAATCCATGACTAAAATATGAGATTTAGCATCCATACTCTCAGTGACTTATCCCAATTCCAGAATAGTAAACAAATAAATACCGACATTATGAAACCCATTGACCCCATGGTTGCCAGAATGTTAAAATTGATTATTTGTTCCTAACAGTTTGATTCAATTTGACCAACTACTTGTTTTGAATCCACTGGGTCAACCTACTAAACATTAATGTATCTGTTCGATTTGTTTCCGAGTCTTAGAATTCACAATTGAACCACTGTTAAAATGACTAGTAACCTTCCATTTTGACAATTTTAACCAGTCCATTATTTTTAGCTAGTCTTTAACTTCAAATAAGCCTCCAAAAGAATTTTAGAAGGCTTTAGGCAATACATTACAGATTTGTTTTTATCGTCTGTTCCCTTTTATATTATCAAAAATGTAAAAAATACACATTTAATAGACTAAGATCTCTTTTCTCCCTATATAATTCTGAATGTAAATTAGTCTTTTCTTTGCTTTTTTTTTTTTTTTTTTTCTGGTAAAGACATTTCAATTTTGACCTAGGTTCTTGCCTTGATCAGAGAAGTAGAAAATGAACAATGCCCATGAATAATTTTTGATGTTTAATGTCTTGCTTGTGTTTCTAAAATGGTAACAAAGCTTGAGTGCATTTTAAGAGTAATTTATGTCAATTGTGGCGTTATATGAATAAATCAATTAATTACTCAACTTTGTTAAAAAAGATATGGTTTTTTAAGAGTTCCCCAAAAATGCTTTTAGTTTACATGACTTGGAAAATGAAGTGAGTTTTTTCCCCCCTTTTTTTAAATGAACTACTCCAATAGCTTTCAGCTTAAAATTTTTTGTGATTAGATGTTTTATTTTGCATTTCCTTATTTATCTTAAACATTACATTTTAGAATGTGTTATTCCATATATTTTCCTAGTACTATCTCCAAATCATAAAAATCCAATCCATTTTGTAATTTACAAAATTATGATTTTGATTTGAATCACAATTGAACTAAAATAACCAAGAAAATTCTAAATTTAATTCATGAACATCTCAGTCCATGCCAATCATATATTGCCAAAAGCATATCTATCTATAGTAAAGAAATATATCAACTAGAGATGACAATTTGTTGGATACTCAGATGGAATTGAAGAAGTTTATCTTAGTATGTAAACTTGGCATACATGACCTGGGAAATCACCACAAGATTACAAAATAATCATGTTGCATTTGGTACCTAGGCCATATCTAATTCATGATTAGTTTTTTATGAAAATTTTAAATTTAAATTTTAATGCAAACAGTTACTGTCTGGTGCAATTTCAATTTATATGCAAACAATTGCAGAAGTACTGCAATAATGCAGAAAAATAGGAACGTGAAGGCCAATTGCAAGAAAAAATTGCAAAAATACATCACCAAAATAAAAATCATCCCTTTTTTAAAAAGACAAAAAGAGAAAGAAGAGTACAAGAAAAATAAAAGAAATCAATATACGAAAACGTAAATGAGATAGAGCAGGTAAAAGAACTAGCATGGTTCAGCAACTAGGCAGAAGTCCAAGAGAGAGAAAACCAATAAACAATCTTACTCAGTGCACCAAATACATATGATATGATTGTAGTCAAAGATTTCCAAAGATATTTTGAATCTTCACAAGTAGCTAGACTAATCTGATGAATTCTAGAAATAAGATAATCTGACTAAAGTAAATGATGAAATGCTACCCTTTGATGCTTGACATTCCGATAGAGCCAGTTTATCAAACCACATTTTGGTATGTGGTAAAGTCTGAAACTGACAAGAATTCCGTTTCTCTCTCCTTCCCCTACTTTCCACCCGCTCTCCACTTATAACTACGGGAAAATGTCTGACCAGGCTCACAGAGATTGTTGACAACAAATTATCTCCTTGGTAAAGAGTTCCTAATCTATGTCAAACACTATCTTTTCTCATTTAGAGTTCCAGAAGCATTAAAGGAGAAATCAAACTCCCAATGTTTTCACACTTTCCCTGGGACTGGCAATAAGCTCAAAGAATTTAGAAACTTGGTAATTGGTGTGGAGATTTGGACATGAAGAAGTTTGATATTACTGACATTCAAGTTATATAATTTATTATTGTGGATATAAAATTAAGTGTTAACTACATAGAGCATATAGCAGTAAATGATGTTACTACTCCTAGCCAACAGAAAAGATATATCATGACAAATATGCATGAAGGAAAATATCAAGATACACATGAAGTTTGTAAATCATGCTGGAAAATAATGTGAACTGCAGACTTATTTGATGATATATACTGAAATTTTGTTAACATAAGCTTGAAGTTGGTTATATTGCTTCTTATCATTTTGTTTTGCTGCTAATATAAGGCACTTTAATGTTCCATGACATTCAAATGCACCCTTCAACCATAACAAAGAATGTCTTATCCTCAAAACTCATGGGATCACAAAATATATGGGAAGATTTTGAGTAAGGATGGGGCAATATATAAAGAAGGTTAATGATGTTGTCATACAAATACTGAGTCTGCTGATATAAAACCGACTGCTCCTCGTATACTAGTGCTATTTACCTCAAGTCATAAGCATAAAGTCCATTATAAGATTTTTCTAGTAGAACATGAATATTAACAAAATCAAAATGAAACATATGGAAGAGAGCAAATTAAGCTTACTCTTCAGCATGCTGATGCATAAACACAATAATAGGGATATCCTCTGCGCCCTTAGGTAAGCGGTAAGCAACCAGCCGGTCATCATCTCTAATTAAAGATAATGAATCACTAGGCTCCCCAAGATACCGTATGATGCGATTATTGTATATCTGTAAGTAACTGTGGTTTTAGAGCACAAAACACTTCTTAACATAAATGATTGAAAGCAACAACAGATTCAATTTTGCAAGGAACCATTTATGCATCTTAGTAAAGATAGTTACTAAACTTACCTCAGCCACCAAGAAGGTCTCATCAACCCCTAAAGAACAAGCAATACTTAAAGCCTGAATAAGATCTTCAAATTTCCCATTCTTGGGTATGCTAACAGTAAATGAAGATGGTGGAGTATTTCCGTCGGTGCTCATGACAGTCAAAGTCATTGTCCGCATTGATGTTGATGGCAAAGGCAACGAAAGGTACATGAATGGATCAAAAGTAATGGACACTTTCCGACAAACAGGACACACTAATGTTGACCTATATTGTCCCTGCAATGACAATTAACAAGCCCATAATCAATAGTTGGACAATTTTATCTGATGAGTAATTTGTCAGCTATTCTCAACTCTATCTAAAAGACTAGGTTACAATTGTTAACAGCATACCTAACCAGGTTTCTTTGTAACATAATAAAATTGGTATTTAAGATAAGAAAATATATTTTTCACAAGAAAAGTAGCCCATCGAAACCATTCAAATTTACAATTCTACTCTCTTCTCACAGTTCCATAGTCCAATAATGAAAGTCACTAACAGATGGTTTGGTCTTGTTCATCTAATGTTTTCATAGGGATCCATAGTTCACAAACCTAGTCTTGGATAATCAAGTCGAAATGGTTGCCTTGATGCAAATAATGAAACCACAACTCGTACTTGATAGCATGAGCTATTACTGTACCAGCAACCTAAGAAGCAGAGACACGTTCATGTGTGTAACATCATACATAGAAATCATGTTGTTTTTAGAAAATGATATACAAGTTGTGGAGAAGGAAAAAAAGGATTTTGTACAAATCACATAAATTTCAAGAATACTGTAACATGAGAAACATAAAACATAACACCTGAAGAATCCCATCAGTGTTAATGACTGACAAGTATCTGACAGACACTTAGCCTTCTAGATGTGTTTTGGCCCACATACAATATCAATTTAAGATCTCACATGTAGAAGAATGGGGCAAAAAGAGGTAACCAAAGAGAAATCCAGATTATATAGGGTTAATATGACAGCCCATAATACCTCTATATTGCCACTTCCTCAAGGTTCATGAATTGAAAAACAGATTTTAAGCCAAGTTTGATAATATTTTCTCATAAAAATGAAAGACACTTTTACTCTTTACTGGTGCCAGCTTCTTTAGCTTCTTTCCTTCCTGCTCCTGGCTCTCTGGCTGCCCTAACTCTAGATATTGTTTTCCTTGCTACCAAGACCTGTTTCTCTAAAGCTCAAATCATATACAACTTTCTTAGCTTGTCTTATGGACATTAATTATTTGCCCGAACTTCTAATGAGACATTTATATTCCAAAACTAGAAATCAGAGGATATAGGTCAAAAGATTCCAAGATGCTGAACCTTTTTTCCTTTTTAGAGATAGAAGTCATCACCCTGGGACTCTGTTCATTAATCCAACATCTTTTAAGTAAACATGGTACAAAAAATCAAAGAAGTTGCAATATACCACATGTACAGAAAATGGGAGGAAGCCACAGAAATGATACTAACTTGATATAACTCAACAATAATTGAGTCATTGCGAGCCAGATGATTCCGCCAGTATTCATCAGCTATTTCTTCATCAGGCCGGCCATCCCCATCTTTTACCTCTACATACGGTTTGCATTTTACACGATTTAAATCTTCATGCAACCCATCCAATAAAAAGGCAAGAAGTTCCTGTCCAGAAAAAGAAAATCAATATATAAATAAATAAAAGCAGAACCAAAAAGGAATTTCCAAACCTGGAGAAAAAAATGCAACAACAACAACAGAAGATGTAAGATTGAATTCCAGATCCCGGAATCACTAACTTGAGAATCATGTTGATTAAAACCACTGAACTGAGGTGCAAAACGAGCTAGTTTTGACTTGAACATTCTTGGTGCTACTGGAGTTGCTCCAGGAGCCCACAACTTCCGTAATAAATCTCCAAAAGCTAAAGCAATCTCACCCTGACAAAGAAATAAAATCTAAGTAATAAGCTTGAAGAGGGCATTTGCTTCTAAGAGCTCAGATGAAACAGATTTAAAAAAAATAAATAAATTCCCTATTGCTGTGAAAACAAAGGGACATAAAACTAACAAAATATAAGATTAACAAATAAATACACCATGATTGAGAAATATCTATGCAGGAGCATAGCACTAAGGAGAATAAGAAGATGGTAACATACGTCCATGCCTAATGGATTGTCATGATTTATTTCTGCATTGTAATCTCCAAGAAAGTAATCTACAAACTTTGGCGTATGCGCCAAGCACTGAAGGGCGCTACTCATGAAACAAGTATTCCCAAGGTTTTGTAATCCTGTCAACCCCAGTGAGCCAGCCTCACTGGAGTTCATATTAGCACCACCACCATTCATCATAAGGGATGTCCCGTTAGAGAGAAGCCCAGTCAAATCATCTTTCTTCAAATCTCTGCTCCTAGAGAAATCTGACAATCCATAAACTTGCAACTCCAAGAGAATCTGCATAAAGAAAAAGAAGAAAGCTTAATATGCATCCATGCATCAATATGGAACCAAGTTAAAAAACTTGCATAGTATTGAAAATAAAACAGTATTCTATGCATAACAGAATATCAAATCTGCAACTCCCCCCCCCCCCCCACACACACACACACGCAAAAACTGCACGCACACATGCAGAACCAGTTTTTATATAACTTAATAAAATCATTTCTCATCTGGAGTTCTTGGGCCTTCTTCTCTCCAAACTTACATGTTCTCACGTCAACTTTTCTCATATGACTTGATTTTACATGTTTTAGCACAGCATATAGTTTGTTTGATTGATTTATCTGCCAATCCATCAAAGCACAAGACTGTTTTTCAGGTAGGGAACCTATAAGAGCTCTTTCATAATTTTTTGCCTGTTTGATATGAAGGATATTAAATCTTAGGGATTTTAAAGCATAGGATTCTTTTCATTGGAAGAAAAAAAAGACCCAGACATTAAATCCCTATCGGCTCATCTGAGAGCAGATTTAGATAAATTGCATTTAAAATGTGAAACTAGATAAAGTATATTTTTGGTGTTTGATTACAAATGAATGGTGAAAGTGGGTTAGAAATAATAAATGTCTAATTTATTTTTTAAAAAAATGGTAACCCATCCATTGCTTTTTTAGAACGATAACAAAATCAAGCCAAGAGGAGTGCAATATATCAAAGTTATATTTAGTTCTAGTTCTAGAATTCCTTGTATGACTGCTTCGTCCTTTTTATCTGGAATACACATTTCAATATATGGAAGACATTTGTTTCAAGTCAGTCAACTGAATGTTCCAAAGTTAACTGCAAAAATGTTCATATCCGTCCCTTCAATATTTTCCATAGAAGTATAATCACTAAAATTGGGAGGTGGGCCACCATATTGCCCCTATAAATGTGTTATTACATGATTAAATTAGAAAAATTGTCAGCTGTTTTATTCCACACCAAATTATTAACAAATAATTCTTTTCAAATTTAGAAGTTTTCTAGCAAATACAGGCAATACTATCAATTGTCAATATAAAGCTACTCCAAATTTTACTATATCTAAAAACATTAAGGTATTGTGCTAGAACAATCTTCATACCAAGCAACATTGAGTATGGGCTTTCTAGTAGCAAGGATGCATAAAACAAAACAAGCTTTCTTATCTGTAGTAAGGATAAAGCACGGTATGTTTAAAATCACTTCCTTCAATGCCCATACATGCTTATTAACAAAGCATACAATTTATGTTAGGAGATGTGTCATCTCTTCTATTAAGAGATATATTGCCCAAATCTCAAATGATGTATCCTTGGATCAATACAAGCAAGCTTAGAAGAAGACACTTAATATCTAACTTAAAGGAGAATACTAAAATATTAGATATCTTGTATCATGAATCTAATCTCATGTTGACATAATATGGTACTTGTTATTAATTGTGTTGATTCCACAAAAATTTCAGGTTGGCTGGGCACCAGTAATATTACCCAATTATGCTCACATCATGGTCATACTAACACAATTACAAAATGAAGAAGATTAAACAAAACCCAAAAACCCTCTCAATGCATGTAATCTAATAATACAAGTCATGTTCAATATGCCACCCCAAGATTTAGGAGCTACAACCAACATAAATTAAATGTTGCACCAATAGCTTTCATATATATAGATGGAATATCTAGGCTTCTAACCTTTCAGGGTGAAGAACAAAGCAACTATTAGCAGCAATAAATTACAAAATTCCTTTGTTTTTGATATGCCCCAGGAGTGGAGAAAGAGAACTACATGGCAGAAACTTTAGAAATTTTGACACATGTCTACCACTTACTTCCTGTTCTGATTGCCTTTGAGTCTCTTGTGCAAGCTTACTTTTGTCACTCAAGAAATATAGAGTTATCTTTCCTGAAAAATCCCATATGCGCCACTGCACAATAGCAGAATTTTAAGACTGTAACTGCTTTTATGAAACATCGTAAAATTTCTATCAGAAAACACAAGTAATCCAACCAGTTTTCTTTTTAAGTATCACTTTAAGAACAAAATACTTACAAGCTCAGGCTCAACACTAAAAATCTTGCAGGCTCTTCTAAAGCGCTCAATGGCATTGTCCTGAAATGGAAATAGTCAAAAGTGCACTTCCACACTAGGATATTCTATTGCAAGCAATCTTCATTTTACTCAATGAGGAAATTTTTACATAGAAGAGTTGATAGCATTTTGTTAAAAAAAGCCCTAATATTAGAATTCAGAATATTAATTACACACTCAGACATACGGATAGTCAAATAACAATTTGTTGATTCATTAAGTGGATGGAGTACCATGAATACGGTATAATGCACTCAACCCAAAAGGTTTCACATTCAAGGCTAGCAGATCTCTTTAAATGCAAAGTCATTTGCCTGAATATTGCAGTGACCCAGATTGGAGAATCCAATTCTGATGAAGAGAGAATTGACTTATATGTGGCATTTATTAATTTTCTCCATTTTAAATCTGTCAATAATACTTCACTAAAGCTTCAATTATTGAACTCTGCTGTTAGGTTACTGCTAATTTATTGTCAAAGGACCTTCCAGGCTCACATGGGACTGATGCAGAAAGCAATTCTAGAAAACAAATCAGAACCTGCCAAACTTACAACACCTAGGGACGGCTTCCATTAAAGACAAAGAAAATAAAAAAACAATCTAATGGTCATTGATAAGAAAACTGCACTCAAGATATTACGCATATGAGAATAAGGCACCTAACATATTTCAAATATGTAACTAATATTCTAATATTTTAATTTTATATGTGTATGTGTATATATATCTTCAACAGAAATTTATCTCAAAAATAATGCAAGTGGCCTTGTATTCATTTATGTCGTATCGGTTAAGCGGAAAAAAGATGCAGTTTTTGACATGCAAAATAAAACTGAGGTTCCATGGAAAGACAGACCTTTTTTGTTAATAAAAAGTTTCCATCAAACAAGACCGGTAATTTTCTGTTGTTGCTTTACCACCCATAGTGCTTTGTTTTATTATGAGATGAACATTATTAGAAAATCAGAACATGGAAATTGGCTGCTAATGCAAATTCTCTGGAAACTTCAATTAATATTTTGGATTGATTTAAATAAAAATCCACCAAATTAGCTTAATTCAATTCCTTGATTACTTGTTCCCACACTATCCTTGCTTTCCAAGCACAAGTCTCAATTCATACAATTTATATCTAGATCTTGGTTTGAATTTATAAATAAACCAACCTTTGAATTGATTAGTTCTAATGGTAGCTTGGACCTGGTTAAGTTCCGGACCAACAAATTGCAGAACCAACCACCCTGAATAAGCTGAACTGAATCAAATGATAACATATATAAACCTCCATAAAATCTTTATGGTACAAAGAACTATGACATTTACATATAATAAATCAATAAACCCACTCCTAACATTAGTGCATCAAAGCCCCAGCCACCTGCACCAATAGCATAGGCACATACTCCACACTTGCACCACCATCCAGCCTAGACTGCACTCCGTCCGCCATTATAGCAGTTACTCCTTGGAGCAGAATACACTCTCATGCTATATCTCTAATGAAAGACTCCAATGGATTTTCTCCGTCTTTGGAAAAGACTCTTGATGAAATCAGGATCAAGGAGTTTTTATCAGAAATTGGTACACTGCAAGCTCCAAAAAGAAAGAAGATCATTTTTTTTAAGCCTTCAAGTTTAGTATACTTGGGACCTTTTCAGGATTAGTTGTTTCCTTGGTTGTCAAAGAAAGGGAGGTGTGCACTTGTGATCAGGTTTAGCTTTTTGCTATGTGGCGGCATGTGTCCCACTTGTTACTTCCTTACTTTGTAGCTTTCCATTTCAAGATGCTTCAATATGAAGTAACCTTCCTTGCTACACGTACATAGGGCTGTGACAATCCTGTTTTAGAATGTCTTTTGGAATGAATTGAAGTTCAAATTTCGCTTATTTCTTGGAACCTTTCTGACTACTGCTAGGGTTTGATGTTGAACCCCGAAATTCATGGATTTCAGACAATATATTGTGGCGAGAAATTGCATAAATCAGACTCATAAGTTGACTTGCTGAATTGGAAATTCATCTTTGATTCTCTGATTGTAGCTGTTCGAATCTTCCAAGCAAGCCACATTAATTCTTTTCTTCCATCATCCTACAGAATGCAAACTAGATATCTTCCTTGATTCTGTAACCATCTATAGTGAACCACCTTTATGACAAACTCCCTTCTCTCTACCCCACCCAAAAAAAAAAAAAAAAAAAAAAAAAAACCTAATATAAATAAAACATTGATCATCTAAAAATGAGAAAGGAATGAACCCTCTCCTTTTACATCTAAAACCCAGTGGACAGTGGAGATCTTCTCATCCTTATCACCCAAGAGTGACTTGCAATGGCTCATTTTTTCCAAAATTCAGAAAAGCAGCTTTTGGGTTTTAAGAGAAAATCTGACTAGCCAGATTATTGATTTCATGTCCTTTTTGTTCTTTTTGATGATTTTTGTTGCTGCTCAAGTAGTCATCATTGCATTGTCCCTAACCAAAAATATCAAGCAGCATATTAAAGATAAGCTTTCATTGAGTGACAACATCCAGCACATCTGACACAGAACCAACACTTTCTTGGAGTTGATGGTTGTTAGACCTAGGGCTCAGTCCTTTTTTTTCTTTTCCCGATCAATTCTACAAATTAGCTTTTCTCGAGGATTTAAATGAGTTGTAACAGTATTAGGGTTCTGAACAGTCAAATAAGAATGTTATGTGAAGGCTTGAATACTTCAAGCTACATCTCTCTACTTCATCAGCAACTTGAGACAACAAAACCAGTTTTCTTGTCTTAATTTATTAGATGGAAATTTATGGCAATGTAAATAAAGATAAGACTTCACTGTCAAATTGGAAAATTGTGTTTGCTTCTATTCATAATGAACTTGGAAGTTAGTTATTCTCAAATTAAAAATTTATCTTCCATGCATTTTAAACATTATCCATGTCATATTTTAAACACAATCCACACATCTATTAAAATTAATACTTTTAGATTTGACCAATACACTATGCACTTGATCAGATAGTGTTTCTTATTAAATTCTTATTATCTGAGAGCCCATCCCATCAAGCAAATCATTTAAAATTTACAAATGTGGAGAGAGAGAGGAGAGAGAGAGAGAGAGAGAGAGAGAGAGAGATGAAAATTCTAAATTGATAATAAAGAAATGAAATGCAAGAAAGAAAGTTTTAACACCAATACAGAACACCACATTTTATACACTCCATCTAAATTCATGACCATCATGATGTTTCATATATTCAAAAAGGAGAAAGTAAGGCAGCCTAACAGAAAGTTATCACCTTTTTGCTTATTTTTACTCCCAATGAGTTTGTTTCTCGCAGAACAGAAAGCCTAAGTTGTAATGGGTAAACATCAGCCATATCATCCTCCCCTGCTGAAAAGGTTCGACCGTCCTTACTTGCACTTTTAGAATCACTGTGCCTATGTGAATGAGCGGAACAGAACCGGTTAGAAATCAAAGAATTTTATATAGGCAAACTGTTGATTTCCAATCATTTGTATCCAGAGGAACACTTTCATCATTGTGCAGATTAAACCACTGATGTAAATTGTAAACCATAACATCAAAAATTATTAATAGGTACTTTGTGACTGTTTTAGAGAACTGTGTGTGGAGGCTTATGACATTTATAGGAAACACGTGGGGTTGCTTGACATAAGAAGAATCTTCAATCAATCAATCAATGCACATTGTTCTTAATTAACAAGTGATACATTGTCTAGCTTATAAAATTAGAATCTCTTATTAATTAAAATATCATTCTTTCAGAAAAGTGCATGTGTCTGATTGTGTATGCAAGCCCATTGGTTGGACATTATTCCTTTCCAAATAACTTTCAATCATCCATGTCAAGTCAATAATTTCTCATCAATTTGCATGTACACGTGATTTCATACAATTTTTTATGTCCAACATCTCAGGCTATGATTGACAAATATGTCATGTTGAACCCAGCAAATATGGGTATGAGCACATTTTTGTCTTTGCAGATTTATCTAGTAGTTTCTTGGTTGCCTGTTATTCTTCATAACTGTTCTATCTTTCAACTCCTTATTTGATGTTTCATAGCGCATACCAACTTCTAATTTGTATATCTCACTCTATTTGTGTCAGTAGTTCCCAAACAGGTTTTCCTGCATTTAATTCATATCAAGCATCAAAAGCACAAGTTCATTTCAGATTTCCTTGTTCCAACTAATGGGTGAGTACTAAAGAAATCCATGATGAAAATCCATGCAATTGATTGCAAATTCTGAGAATAATTCATAAGTCACCAATCTTTCATCAGTAAATGCTCATTATTCTTATCGCACGTCATTCTTTTTCACCTAGGAAGTCTTTATTATCAAGACATATGAGAAAATAATTAGAGAAGACGAAGCAGATTCAGGCTTTTGGAAGATGGAAGGGACATGTATGTTTCCATGGTGAAACCAGAAATCACTTTCAGAGAAGACGAACCACAATTTAGTGAAAAATCAGCTGGGAAGTCAAGAAATAATCACTCAAATAAGAAATAAGTTAACAAGAAAGGAACTGAACAAGGGAATTAAAGAGTCAACTGTTTAAGTCAAGAAAAATTAAGTCGGAAACCTCATCGAAATGGTCCAAGTTTTGCGCAGAAAGAAATCATTAAACGAGTTCAGGGTGCAAAATTGCAAGCACAACAGTACTGCATTTGGCTAGTCAATAAATTGAAGCAACCCGGTCCAGTTTCGCACAAATTATCAAATTCAAGCTGTAAGTCCTTACCATTTAAGTGCCTGCAGCCACATCTCCCCTGGAACCAGCGCGTAGTCCCGACCCGAAATTCCCACTTCTCCATTCTCATTACTCTGCACGTTATCACACTCTCTTCTCAAATTGAACACAAGATCTGAGTTAAATATGTTGTTGATTATCTTCATCGGCCCACCATAGGAAGACGCTGGCGCCACCGTATACGTAATCCCTTTCGCCCCATCTGAATCAAGCGCCGAGGAAGCTTCCCGCGCCTCCTTCCACCACCTAAAACCACACAGATGAGATGATAAAAATCAAATTTCACACCCCCAATAAGGCATTTTCTGCCTATCATCGGTCGTTCATTCCAATGTAGCTTTGAATTCGAGCTCGTTCGCCATTTTTTGGTTGGGAAATGTAAATCGATTTACCAAATAACAAAATCACAACAGCGATGATAAGAAAGATGGTCCACCTGTAGGGGACGAAGTAGACTCCCTGGTCATCGTTTGAGGTGGAGGCTTGTTGGGAAGTGTCGGAGGAATCTTCGGGGAGACCGTCCATTTCAGGAGGAAGAAGAGAGAGAGAGAGTTTTAGAGAAAGAGAAGGAGCTTGAATAGATCCAAATGCGCCAAAAGAAAGTTGCAGCAATGCAGATCATTTGCGAGTAGAGAGAGATACGGGATTTGCAGAGTCAGAGAGAGAGGGAGCGATTCATGGGAAGACCAAGCGGAGCTTTTCTGTGTAGAGGATTCAAGGAGGGAAAATAAAAATATTGATAATATTAATAATTTTGTGCGTGTGTGTGTGCGTGTTTTTTTGTTCCTGTGGGTGGGTGGGGGGGTGTTTACTGATTTAGAAAAAGGATAAAAAAAAAAAAAAGGGATATATTAATACTCAGACAGCCGGAGATGTGTTCCTGGAGACAAGCGTTGTCCACGGGTCTACTGCTTTTTGAAAATATATTTTGAAACGCATGCTTTTTCGTTATTTTTTAAAAATATTTTAAAATTAATAATGATTAAAAAAATATAATCTATTAAAGAAATTAAAAATTAATTATTTTTATTATAAAAAAAAGTCCATAAAAAAGCTAAAGGAAAATAAAACAAACTTTATATCATAGAATGCTTCTTTCCTTTTAGAAAAAATCATAAATTGTGGGACATGTGATATTAAAAAGCATAATTTTCTGTATTTATTTGTATAAGAATAAATTTTATGAGAAAAAAGTTATAAAACCAAATCATTAGTGAAATTGGTTTTTGGAGTTTTTTTAACTTTTTTTACTGTATACTAAATTTAAATTTATTCAAAAAATAAATTTCTCATTAAAATTAAACTTTAAAGCACAAATTAAATATTTTTTATATTTTACAGGCACAAGTTATATTTGATAAAGTGTGTGATAAGAGTTATACTTTAATAAAAACTCATACGAGAACTTACTGCCCTTATCGGGTAATGTTTAATTTTAAAATTTCTAAAATTTATTTATGTTTATTATATTTTTAAAAAATTATTTACAATTTTGAATGAAATTATTTTCAAAAATTATTTAACTTTTCATTTATTTAATATTAAATTATGATATACTAGGTCAAAAATTATTATATTTATTAAATGAGTATATAATATTAATCTAATAGTTATTAAATTATTACACATGAAACCTGGATTTGATATCAAATTCAAACCAATTTTTGTACGCGTTTCAAGTAAAGAAGGATAGCGGCCATAACTCTTCCCACGGTCAACAAATTAGAGTCAAATGTCAAACTCCATTTTTGTCTTGGCATGCTTATATTTTATTAATATTTAGAGTAAGATAAATGAATAAAATAGTGCTTAATCTTCTTTTGTCATTTATTATTTCTAAAATTTATTTTCCTATTTCATTTTTGCGTAATAATCTATAAATTATTGTACCCATTTCTTTGTATTTTTAATAAATTTGGATCTTAATATATTATTTAAAAAATTTAATTTTATATAGGATAATTAATTTTATTCAAATTTACTTCTTTATTACTCTCTATTATTTTTGGTAAAAAAAAGTATTAAATAAACAATCTGTAATAATTCAGAAATAAATGAAAAATAAATAAAGAGATTTATCAAAAAAAATCATTTTATTTATTATTACTTAAAACCGTTTGAAGAAGTATCAATTGATACCTAATATAAGTGTAAGGCAGTTATACCACATCTCATACCATTAATTTGGTCAAAATTAACAGATGACATTAATTTTCAACAACTTTCAACGGATAAAATTAATGTCATCCATTGATTTTGACCAGATCAACGTGTGAGATGTGGTGTAAATACCTTACACTTATATTAGGTGTCAATTGATCCTTCCTCAAACCATTTATAGTTGATTTAAATATTTGTTATTTTCATTAAAAACCTTACATATCCAAACATTTAATTACTTATTTAAAAAATAAATACTTAAATATTTTAAATAATTTTAAGTACCATTCTACTTTAAATAATTTCAAACAAATAAAATTAAATATCTCCTGGACAAATTTCTATTTTTTTTCAACCACTGTTTTGGACATAATAGGAAAGAATTAGAATTGTTTCAAAATATTATATTTATATTTAAGGAAATGGCACGTGGTACTACTTCCATTAAACATGTGAATTTCTCTTTAAAAATTGTATTCTAATTCAATAAATTTCATAGATTGAATTCTAATGCAATAAATTCCAGTCATTGATATTTTACCGTTAGTACATTAGTTATAATTGATTAATTATTAATTGCTCAATTATTAATAAATTAACATAATTAAAGCTCCAAATTCATTATTACATGATAAGGAAAAAAAAATTAAATGCTTATTACTATTTCACCCAAACCCTTAAAAAATGTAAGCCAATTTACGTGTCCCTTATTTATTTCACTAAGAAAAAGAATTACCAACTGAAAAAAAAAATTCAGTACTTGTTTTTATGGGAAAAGACTTGACCAAACGTTGTAGTTAATGGTACAAGATGTTGGCCAAGTGCACCCAGCTAGCAATAAAAAGAGCTAGCTCAGCATGTGTTGTCTGGCATGTGCAGTTCATATATGTTTACCCCCGGTTGTTTGATTATTGGTTTTAACCCAGCTAACAAGGGTCATGTCAGTTTAGTCTTGGCCTAACTAATAGGGAGGTTGTTAACCTGATGTATTGGTACATTATTGTTTGAACCATAATCTTGGATTGAAACTTCCATCATAGTTTTAATATATAATTTTAGTGAGATATAATATGTTATATATGTTAGTTAACATTTGGACACGATTTGAGACATAGTTTTGATGCAACATGTTTTGAATTTGATTTAAAAAGATTTTATACTTATGTTTGAAATTGAAAGAATTTTGGTTCAAAACTCTTATATTTGATTTTGTCATGTTCTTGTTATAGACACATGTTATCGTTTATTGAGCCATCTCACTCACCCCTCATATTTTTTAGATTTGTGAGCTGAGTAAGTTTATGATTTTTTAGGTTTTTAGAGGAGTTGTTTCTAGTTTTTTGTAGTCAGTTTTATTTATTTTATTTATTTTGGTTTTTGTACTAAACTGGAGATGTACTTCATTAGTTACAGAATGATTTTTGTTTCTGCCATGACAATTTGGTTTTCAAAAATTTTTTGTTTAAATGTTTCTTTGACATGAATTGTTATCATGTTTTCATTATTGAAATATTCAAGACATAGAATTCTTTTTTTTTTTTTTTGGGGGGGGGGGGGGGGAGATAGGCTTGCTCTAATTGACTAGTCCAACCCCAGTACTAGTCATGATCTCTAAAATTGGGTAGTGATGCCATGATATCTATACAATTTATTCATATAATTTGCATGCTTTAAACATATTTATACATGTTGAATTATATAATTTAAATAAAATATAAATATTTTAAAAATATATTTTTAAAATTTTAGCAACGGATTAGCAAAAGATTAGCAACGAAATGCTAGTAGTTTGGCTTGAATTATTTATGGATTGACAACAGACTACTAAGAAGATAGTGAAGGATTAGCAACCACATAGTTAGCATTGTCCACAATTCAAGTTCATATAAAAAACTGGCCTAGACCAAATCGTTGGAAAAGGGATTAGACCGGATTACCTAATCTAGTCTAGTCTAGTTTTGAACCAAATCATGAATAATCGAATTGTGAGTAAACTGCAAACTATGAACCATGCTTCCTCTTCTTTTTTGCAATTTTTTTTTTACTATTTTGTTATTAAATTATTTAATTTGACTACATTGAATTCACGTGACTTTTTAAACGAACTTTTAATTTGACTATATATTGAATTTATGCATCCTCTTAAACAAAAAATAAAAGTTGACTATATTGTATATATGTGACCTCTTAACCCAAATAATAATAATAATAATTTGATTACATTGATTGGATTAAAATTACATGATTGCATTAAAAGTTTAGTTTTTTTTTTGTTATAATTTTTTTTATCTTCTTATTAGCTTTTAGTTTATAATTTATAATTTATATAATTTACAATTTTTCACTTGAAAAATACTTTCAATTATTAATTTTAACTTAAGCCTACGCTAGTATACTTGTAAATTTAACTCCTGTGTTTAACACTTATTAATCTAAAATATTAACATAACCTTAACTTAAATCTAATTTAAACTTAGAAAATTAATTATAACTTAAGATTATATTAGATTTACCATAAATACCTTTCCTAGATTTATTATTTTTTGTGTTTAGTACTTGAAAAATATTTATAAAATTAAATTCTAACATAGCGTTAAATAATGACTTAAAAAATATTTATAATATTTAATTAATTATAAGAGAAAATTAGAAATTTTTTTAATTAAATCACAACTGGGCCAGGATTATACCGAATCCAAAATTAGAAATTTTTATGAAGGGTATGGCCATTGGAAGTTGTTGGCTGTTAGCCACGAAATTCCTCCCACCAGTAGCAATTGACATTTGTTAGCGAGGATTTGTTTTATTACTAATACCATCTTAAATTTGTCACTAACCCATTATGCGAGAAATTTACGACAAGCTGGAAGTAGGTTTTCTCGTCGCTAATTCCTTATGTTGCTGCAGCCCTCTTCCCCCATTGCAAACTTTGACACTCTCTTGTTTAACTCACTTGCACAATGCAACTTAAGGTTATGTTTTTTTACACTTACACCTTAACACCTTATTATTTTTTGCCTTGTTAGGATGTAAAGTACAAAAAAATATAATTTTAGAGTACATTGTGCAAATCACCCCTCTCATTCTCTATTCATTCCAGATCCCACCACTCTCTTGCAATCTCGCTATATGGATTGTACAATCTTCATACTAACTTTCTTTTATAATATTTTTTTAGTAAGAAGGTTATTGGATTAACTCATGCATGTTCTTTCACAAATATAAATAGTTGTTTTTTCTTCTTGAACTTCATCTTAATAATCAATATTTTCTTTTTTTTGTTTTTAATATTTTTTTATTGAGAAATCGATGATAAAAGTTAATATTTTTAGTAATTTTTTATTTTTACATTTTTATCTTACATA